AAGGGCTCATAAGTATTTGGACAAACTAACATAATCATCAATTAAACAGTCAGTTTTAATACTTGGTTGCAAATCCTTTATAGTCAATGACTGCCTGAAGTGTTGGACACATAGACATCATCAGATGCTGGGTTTCTTCCCTGGTGATGCTCTGCCAGCCCTTTACTGCAGCCGTCTGCACTTCCTGCTTGTGTTTTGGGTGTTTTGCCCTCAGTTTTGGCTTCAGCAAGAGAAACGCATGCTCAGTTGGATTCAGGTCAGATGATATGACTTGGCCATTGCAGAACATTCCACTTCTTTGCCTTAAAAATGTCTTTGGTTGCTTTTGCAATATGCTTCAGGTCAATGTCCAACTGCACTGTGAAGCATCGTCCAATGAGTTCTGAAGCATTTGGTTGAATCTGAGCAGATAATGGTGCCCCAAACACTTCAGCTTTCATCCTGCTGCTATTGTCAGCAGTCACATCATCAATAAATACAAGAGAACCAGTTCCACTGGCAGCCATACATGGCCATGACATAACAGTACCTCCACCATGCTTCACTGATGAGGTGGTGTGCTTTGGATCATGAGCAGTTCCTTCCCTTCTTTCTTCTCTTGTCTTCCCATCATTCTGGTAGTTGATCTTTGTTTTATCTGTCCATAGTATGCTGTTCCACAACTGTACAGGCTTTTTAGATGGTTTTTGACAAACTCTAATCTGGCCTTCCATTTTTAAGGCTAACCAGTGGTTTGCATCTTGTGATAAACCCTCTGTATTTATTCTAGTGAAGTCTTGTCTTGCTTACAAGAGCAGCAGGATGAAAGCTGAAGTGTTTGGGGCACCATTATCTGCTCAGATTCAACTAAATGCTTCAAAACTCATTGGACGATGCTTCACAGTGCAGTTGGACATTGACCTGAAGCATATTGCAAAAGCAACCAAAGACATTTTTAAGGCAAAGAAGTGGAATGTTCTGCAATAGCCAAGTCATATCATCTGACCTGAATCCAAATGAGCATGCGTTTCTCTTGCTGAAGCCAAAACTGAGGGCAAACACCCAAAACACAAGCAGGAAGTGCAGACGGCTGCAGTAAAGGGCTGGCAGAGCATCACCAGGGAAGAAACCCAGCATCTGGTGATGCCTATGTGTCCAACACTTCAGGCAGTCATTGGCTGCAAAGGATTTGCAACCAAGTATTAAAACTGACTGTTTAATTGATGATTATGTTAGTTTGTCCAAATACTTATGAAGAAATGGTTGTAATTCCTACACGGTTCATACTACATTTTTGAAAAAAGCCTTAAATGAAAGCTGAGAGTCTGCACTTTAAGCAGGTATTCATTGTTTCATTTAAAACCCATTGTGGTGGTGTACAGAGCCAAAATGACGACAACTGTATCATTGTCCAAATAATTATGGACCTGACTGTATAAGTGTTGAGTGCTTCCACATCTCCTGGTCCACCACAGTGTCTGCGCCCATGTCATGTGGAACATCACGGAGCATTTGAAGTAAAGTTTTTGGAAGCGTGCATGCAGAAAAACTGGCTCTCAAATCAATAAAAGTGAGCTATAAAGACGTGACAAAGACTTGAGTGGTATATAGCAGCAGCACAGTGAGTGGACATCATCTGTCAGGCCTGGCTTATTATACAGTGCTGCGCTCTTTGACTCGCTCCTCAAGAAGGAAACTATTGAAGCAGATTATAGGAGCTAATGTGCTTCTGCTGAGGAGTGAAAAATATCTGTTATTGAGCGCCCTGCTGTAAGGACACTGCAAGGGTGTTTTCCCCCCCAATAATATTTACTTAATGTACATATCTGCCACGTTAAAAACAACTTGACACCGTCAACAACCGAACACAAGCGGAGCAATGGGAGAATATCAATCACTGCGGCAATCACTGGAGGGCAGAAATATTTCATGGTGAAAAAGTAACACATTAGTTTGATATAGGCCTGGCTGCCTTTTGAATAAATCCCTGGTGTGGTGCTGAACGCACACACACACACACACACACACCCACACCCACACCGTCACACACATACAAACACACAGGCTAAGACTTTGATCCAAAGCCTCTTACAGGGTTTTGCTGATTTTTTCACCCCAAAATGAGAAGCCCACAGATCCTCCTCTCGGCTCACAATGCAAGACAGCCAGTGTCATTAGCTGCGAGGATCAAAGTCGCGGACGGCCACACGAGTGTGTCCGTGACATCGAGGCTGCACAAGCAGTGGACAGAGTTGGCAAGCGGTGGATGGAGCGGGTGCGAGTTAGGCAAATTTACATGGCTTGTGATGTTGTTTTAAAGTCAACATGGGTGTTCTGGTTGCTGCAATTTAAAAACGTCTCCAACAACTATGGAGTCCTTGGACAATCTTGGTTTCACGTGAAAGTGAAACACTTGCTTAAGCAATCCACCACAACTCCACTCAAAAGGAAATATAATGCCACACACACATTCAGTATCTGTGACCTTATCATACTTTATGGTGTTTTTTATTCCTCATGACACCACTATAATGTTGAAATAGGGACTCCGGGATTTGCTCTAATATTTATACAATATCCTCTGCAAATCCACTTTAGTCCACTTAATGTAGCGCAAATTGGATAATAAATATTGAACACTTTGTCTGCTTTGCAAAAAAAAAAGTGCTTCAAAGGTTAAAAATATAGAGCAATTTTTCATCCCTTAAAGAAAGAAAGTGAACTCACAACTACAAGTAACCCAAATTCAACGTGAGGATGTCTAATGCCAGTGTCAGTTTAACGTAGAATACTGACGACTGATGATGTTGATATTTTGTTGGTTTTACGTTGTGTTGCTAAGTAACCAAAATCTAACGTCCTCCAAAAATCTCAAGCCAACATCATCTTGATGTAGAATCAGCATTTAGTCGTAAGCAAGGAGACCGAAACCCCAACGTCTTCCAAATGTCTCATGCCAACAGAAAAACAGCTTTTAATTGTAAGGTATTGAGGGAAAAGAAACCTGAATATCTGCAAACTGCCATAATGTCAAAGTCTAAATAACTTGAACTTCCAACTTCATTCGACATTTAAATTATCATCAACTCAAGTTTTATTCCAAATTAAGTTTAACGTCTGTCCGATGTAAGAGTCCAACATCTTTCTGTTGTCATACTTAGGTCATATGTTGAGTATTGTGATAAAATACAATGTGATATATTACCTTTTTTCAACTGTGAATTATGTCTCCAAAGTAAGGTATCTAGTAAACCCAAAAAGCAATTTATTATATTATTCTAGTGGGCTACCCAAAATTTAACTTATATTTGTATTATTAATCATTTATATAATGAAAAAATACTTGGCACTGTGTGACGATACCATATTGCCACACAAAAATATTGTGATACTATGCTGTCTCGGTTTTTTCCTCCATCTCTTGATGTCACACTTTTACAAACAGAATCACAGACATTTCTACGTCTTCTGCTGCAAGCAAGTATTTTGTTTTAGGCTTGACTTTTTGTTCAGTCAATGAAAAGTCTGGAAATAAGTAAAAATCAATCAAGCAGTAAATAAAAAATAAAAAGTCCATTGCAATTTTCCAGAACTCAAGTTGAGGTGTCTAAGCTTCTTGATTCGGCTGATAAATAGTAATGAACAGACGTCCGTCTCCCCAGCAACGTTTTCCAGCTCCTCCTGGGGGACCCCAAGGTGTTCCCAGGCCAGATGAGATATGTAATCCCTCCAGTGTGTTCTGGGTCTGCCTCCGTATGTCCGAGCTCCTCACCCTATCTCTAAGACTGAGCCCAGACACCCCACAGAGGAAACTCATTTCAGCTGCTTGTATCTGCAACCTTGTTCGTTCGGTCACTACCCAAAGCTCATGACCATAGCTGAGGGCTGGGACGTAGATGGACCAGTAAATCGAAAGCTTTGCCTTCTGGCTCAGCTCCCTCTTCACCACGATGGTCCGGCACAGCGCCCGCATCACTGTAGATGCTGCACCAAACTGCCAATCCATCTCACGCTCCATTCTACCCTCACTTGTGAACAAAACCCTGAGATACCTGAACTCCCTCGCTTGAGGCAGTAACTCTCTCCACATACTTTTCTGCGGATATATCCCCCAAAATCCTCGCACTGGACCTTTAATATTGATTTCTAATGGTCATACAGGCGACAACAAAGGTTTTGTTTCAACATTGAGGGGGACACATGTGAAATGGTGGGTTTTATTCACAGATTTGTGGCTTTTTTTTGCATCAATTTAAAATGTAAATATCTTCAATTTGGTCAAAATAAAAGTCCTGTACTGCTGCTACTTCCATGTTTGTGTGGCGTGCAGGGCGGAGCAATCAATTTATTTGTCATGTAAAATCACATGAACACGTATTCAATGAAATATAATAAATAACAGATGCACATGTGAAACATACACCAATGCATACATGCTTTGTTTGCCTGTAATATTGTGCTGAACTGAATTCTGGCATATTTCCACATAAATCAGACAATAAAGTGCAGTCCAATATAATCTGATCCAATATCTAATCTAATCCATTGTTTATGTCAGTGGTATTATACCTGGGCTGTAATCCTGACCTGTGGTGGCTGCGTGACATTTACCAATATCACAGCATCAATATATTTGTTATTAGTTATGTAGTGTGTGTGTGAGACTGGAGTGTGTGTTTTCTGACTGCCCCAAATGTAACACACCCCCTTGAAAGCTACACCACATAGCAACAGGACCCAAACACGCCTAAAACACCTTTTTGCAACAACTACCGTGGGAAGTATTTTAATATCTGGCTGCTGCAGATGCGTAACAACAATAAAGAAACACTATAAAAAGTTAATTTCTGCTCCATGGTGTGTTTAAAGCCTCGCGCACAGGGGAAGCTATCAGTTTTAGGAGACAATAGCACTGCTGTCAAAACACAAAGCTAACGGTTTCCAAAAATGTCCGTTAAAAGAGAAGCACACACAGAGCGTGTAAATGCGGGAAAGTTGGTGTGAAAGCAGAGAGAGCTCACCTTGTTTGACACACTTGAGTCGGACGGGGTCTTTGCTGTGTTTGACCACAGCATGGACGTCCCTGGTAGTGAGTCCAGCCACCGGGGTATCATTGACTTCCAGCAGGAGTTCATCCTGGAAGAGTTTGCCGCTGTGGCTGAGCGCCGTGCCCGGGAGAAGCTCGCCGATAACCGGGAACTGTCCATTCTCTGCGCCGCCCTTGAGCTCCAGCCCCAGCTCCCCCTCCTCATTCCTGCTGAGGACACTCTCGTGGACTTTGTTAGTCCAGTGGTTCTTCCTCTTCTTCAGGCTCTTGGACATGGCTCCAACTGGGGGGAAATCACATGAGTGCGGCCGTGGGAGAAGTTTTAGCGCTCTTTGGAGTCGGCCGGTGTCACCGTAACACTGGGATGTGTCCAGTTTCACCAGTAAACGCCAGTTGTATCCATGTCAGCGCGCACACACTCACACGCACAGCAGCTGGATCATCAGTCTGCCTTTGCATGAACTGGGAGCTGCTCAACTTGTGATGCCTTCACGGGACGCCTCAGAGATCGGGATTGACAGATTCGACGTTTAAACGCGACCTGGTGGAGAATTAAAGCCGAAAATTAATTAATTAATTAATTAATTAAATCAACTAACAGTCATTATACATGAAATATTAAAAAACATGTGAGCTCAACTGAAGTACACCTAAAGGGACTTTTTTTATTTTTAAAAAATTCAACTTTATTGAGTACATTCATTACAGAGTATGAATGTTCCAGATTTTCATTTAAAAAGTCGGAGAAAATATATTTAATATTTTGAAAAAATATTAAAATTAATTGGAACCCCGTAAGACCTTTTTATTAACAATAATTGACTTTTTTTTCAAATAAATTTAATTTTATTGTATACATTATGTTCCAAATTTTCATGCTGAGACTTAAAAAAAAGTATTTATTTATTACTGTTATTTTAAAAAATTCAACTTTATTGAATATTCATTATATACGGTGTGTACATTCCAAATTGTAATTTTTAAAGTCAGAGAAAACACATTTCATGATACATAAAAGTATGAAAATAACTTAAAACTTGAAGAGACAAAATATGTATTTATTTATTTATTTATTTTATTTATTTATTATTATTATTATTTTAATAAATCAACTTTATTTAATATTTATTTCATACATATATATGATCCAAACAAGTTGAAATAAAATGGAAACAATATATTTCATAATAAAAAATAATGTCAAAATAAATTCAAACCTAGCAGGATTTTTTTCTTTAATTTTTAATCATTATTATGAGTGTGCATATTCCAGGATTTTATTATAAAAGTTGTAGAAAATATATTTCACAATATAAAAAAGTGTAAAAAAAAGTTCAAAACTGGAGGGACTTATCTTCATCTATTATCTTTGATAATATAAAAATAATGTAAAAAGAGTCTTCAATTGTCCCTCGTATGACAAAATTATATCAGCAAATTTATTGTAGTGCAACAAAAACAAATTAATTAACAAACAAATTAACTTTGTATGACCATCTTTCCATAAAACATACACAACAAGCCTTTTTAATTAACTGCCATCACTTGCAGACATTAAATCACATTTGACAAACTACTTTTATAGAATTGTTTTTGCAGTTTTACCATTTTGAAGTGCTTTTTGGCATGTGCTAAAGCCTACGAAACCTTCATTTACATCTACATTATCATTAATTTTCTAACTTTTTCTGCACCACGCACTGTTCTGTGTAAGCTAACTTCTAAAAATTAATATCAAGTGCCAAATTTATTCAAATACATTAGCTAGAAGTGTTTACAACTTCCAGACTTAGGAGTTTACAAGTTTCCCAGGGGCACCTGAAGGCAGCACCCAGCTCCAACCAACCCAACTGACCCGGATGTGAAGGCTGGAGGAGGAGGAGAGAGGCAAGGCTTTTCCCAAATCCAGCTTTCCATGGAAAAAAAAAAAGGGGGAAAGCAAGGAGAGAAGCAGAGAAGCGGTATTTCCACTGGCATGGCAGCAGAGCAGCAATAATACGGGTTCTTTTTTCATACCACAAATATGTCTCTTCTTTTTGACATTTACTTACAGATCAAATGCTGCAGATTGTGAGCTTCACAAAGTTAGACTCAACTCAAGCTGCTTTTTCCCAGCTGCATTGTCATTCCTCTACCCCCTAAAAGTGGGACTACATCAATTACAGTCTATTTCTGGTTGGACGAGGGCCCACGGAGGTCACCTGATTCAAACCCGCCGTTGCTAAGAGAAGTCTCTCAAACATGTTTTCATTCATTTTTCAGGTGAACTTGACAGATTTTATGTCCTTGAACACCCTCAAGGTCTTTGATGAACGCAGCATTTGTGTTTTATGAAACTCTTTCAAGGGCGGCGAGTGCGTCTCAGCTTTGTCTCGTTAATGATATTCAGATTTCAAACGCATATTCTGTTCCCTCTAACAGCATTTGTGATACACACACTCAGGTCTGTAATAGTTGTGTCATTCGCTCTGAGAAACGACTCCAAGAGGAAAAATCCCCTCGTGTTTATCTCAAACTAGACGAAAGGGACGCAAAGCAAACGGAGAAGTGACTGAGTGTAATCCATCTTCAAACAAATGTGTGTTGTGGGTGTTTTCTTTCACGGGGTTGACATCTTTAAAACTTCCATTCTGCTTTGTCAAGCCTCTCCGAACATCTCCTCTCACCCAGTTTCTGAGCTCATATTCAATAATGATAGTTTAATGCTTCACCGACATAATTGTATAGATATACCATGATAATAGCTGTGCTATGTGCAGAGTTAATCCTTTCTGAGCCTTAAAGTGTTTCTTATAACAAACACTGCATTGATGAGTGCACTTGTTTCCCACACAAGTGTCATTTATTCGGCCTTATTCAATTTTTTTTTTCTAGACAATTCTCATATAAACAGTGTTCAAATTACCAAATTATTAGAATTTTTCATATTAGAGTGCTGTTTCAAAGAAATCTCCACACAGCCAGATATAAAAATGTGGTGAAGAGATACTGGGTGCTTTATAGTGTTGCCTATAAAACCTCAATACATTCTCAGCAGTGGTAATAGTACAATTCACAAACTTTTTCAGAGCTGTTATCCATATCTGATGCTTTTCATCAGCAAACGGATTCTGCTCAGGTGTCTGAGAGTTGGATGAGTTGTTACCGCACAGGCTGTTCTCATTAGAATTCTGATAGAAGTCATGTAACTGAGAAGGATGTGATCACATGACCGTTGCACTGATGGGAGTAAAGGAGGAATTTAATGTAAAGAGATGAAAGTCTGCAAAAGGAGGCAGGTGGAGGTGGTGGAGTGGTCAAACAGCCCAGGACTTTACCCCAGGAGATCAGTGTTGTCCTATGTGGAAACAAGTAACCTTTGAGATGTTTTAAAGGTACGTTGTCATCATGTTTCTTTTCCGAAACCTAACCTACATAACTTGATGTAATAAGTATATAACTTTACGTTACAAACATAACGTGACGACGCACAACCATATGTCTTTGCCTGAACAACCTACTTTACGTTAAGTATATAACTTTACGTTATTTACATAAGGTGACAATAACCAATCGTGTCTGTGCCTGAACAACCTAGGTGACTTTACGTTAAGTATATAACTTTACGTTATTTACATAAGGTGAAAATAACCAACCGTCTGTCTTTTCCTAAGTTTAACCTACTTAACTTTATATAAACGTGACAACACCCAACTATATTTCTTAACCTAAACATAACCTACAAACTTTGCTTTCCCAAAAACCTAACTTACGTAACTTTGATTTCCCAAAAACCTAACCTACATAACTTTCTAAACCTAATCTACATAACCTTATGTTAAGTATGTAACGTAAGGATGTCCAACCTTGTGTCTTTTCCTAAACCTAACCAACATAACTTTACTTGCCAAAAAAACTAACTTTACTTTCTAAGCCTAATCTATGTAACTCTATGTTAACGTGACAACGTGCAACCATGTTTCTTTTCCTAAACATAACCTACACAAGTTTACGATAAGTATGTAACATGAGGGAGCCCAACGATATGTCTTTTGCTAAAGCTAACCTACCTAACTTTCCCTTCCCAAAAACCTAACCTGCGTAACTTTATTTTTCTTAACTTAATCTAGATAACTTTACATTGATGTGACAACGCCCAACCATGTTTTTTACCTAAACATAACCTTCAAAACGTTACTTTCCCTCTGTAACTTTACTTTCTAAACCTAATCTAGGTAACCTTAGGTTAACGTGACAATGCTCAAACATGTTTCTTTTCCCAAACAACCTACCTAACTTTACGTTAGTATGATATATAAGAATTGTCCAACCATGTCTTTTCCTAAACCTAACCTAAGTTACTTTACTTTCCCAAAGATCTTACCTACGTAACTTTACCTTCTAAAATTAACCTACAGTACATGACATTACTTCCTCAAAAACTTAACCTGCGTTACCTTACTTTTTAAACCCAATCTGCGCAACTTTATGTTGATTATGTAACGTGAAGATGCCCAACCATGTGTCTTTTCCTAAAGCTAACCTACCTACATAACTTTAAGATAAGTTTGTAACATACGCCATTGTTGGGTGCTAATTCTTTGGATATCTTATGAACCATTGTATGAGGATATGCTGCATCACATGAGCTAAATGTAATGCTTCGATCACCCAACAGTTTATAAAGTATGCAGATAAATAAATATATATTTATTTATTTATTTTGGTGAAATACTGGACACAATGTAAGTTTTCAGTCTGACCTGTGATGAGGGGCCAGAAGCCAAAAAGGCTCCCACTGGACTAGAGGATCAAAAACTGTCAATTACTTAACGGGGAGACTCTGAAGGTGAATAACTATCAGATATTACCATGAAACTTCTCAGGTTGAAGACATTTATTTTTGTATTATGGGTTTTCTGAAATTTTGACGTTTATACATGCAAATGAGGCATTATCTCATTAAATATGCACAATTCTGCATGAATTTCCAGAACAGAAATCTGATCATTGCATAAATTCAGGTTCAAATTTCTTTTTTCATTTTGTTGACATATTAGAGTCAAAGAGGGTTTTACAGAAGGAATTTTGGAGACCTCTTTTTATCACGCCATAAATCAAAAAATACTGTCAACAGCCATAAAAAATGCATTACTGCCATGTTTTTAGGAATAAAATGTCTATAAATCAGGCTATGAATGATATATGAACAAACCCCTCTGTAAAAGCCTTCAGAATATAGATAGGAGTTAAACTGGAAAGTTTGGTTTATGTAAGTGCTGCTGAAGTGGAGAATTCTAGAGAGGAAAATGAGAACCTAGAAATGGCCTTTAGAGATATGTATTGTAAAAGTCCATACATGTTTGGGTATAGACTGTATGAAATAATAGACGTAGCCACC